CGCATATTTACTTAATGAAATCTAGAAACAGCCAAATGACATTTTTGGTATTTTTTTTACCATTTCTCCGCTTTTCTTATAAAAAATCTAAAAATAGCCAATTCTCATTTTTAGCCTAACGGTATGTCGCAAGAGCAAGTGCAAAAAGCTGAAAAATTTCATCTCTTTCTGTGGTAAAAAAATTTAGTTTGGTGAACTCTCGCATCTCAAACCTTTCAGAATTTAGTAGTACTAAAAAAGTTTGCTCCTTCTCATTACATTAACATTCTCTGATACTACCTTCCTCGAGTGCCGGACTCTCACCGAAGCGTGTTGGGCTACCCACTAAAACCCAATCTCCCACCGCCCGCGCAAGAATCCCGCATCTGACACTGCAATTCTGCATGTCTTCAGGTGCAGGACGGCGCTGCCAGAGACTCGGTGCTGCTCTTTTGTAGCTGCGTTTCATTCGGGTGTCCCCAGTAGACATCCGTCCTCTCGTTTGCAGGGGAGTACGAACTTCACCTATTTCGCAACTGCTTCGCACTCGTCTGCACTGGAGATCATTACCCAATTATGTTGTTCGGATTTATGTCTCCGTATCTTTCTTCCAACATTCTGCGCGAATTCAAGCAGTGTTCGCAGGTGAAGAATGTACGGTACACATTATGTTCGACGTTTATTCTTAAATGTATTATTATTATTTTTTTATTATTAATATATAATTAATATTAAATTTATTTATTATTATTATTATAATAATTATTATTATTATAAACTTACTAAAAAAGAAGAAACCGCAGTGAAAGATAACATCGTTTAAATTACAAAACCGAGTATCGTCACTCCGTGTAACTGACATTTGCTGCCAAAAATTGGATTAACTAACACAAGCTCTTTTAAGAGCTCAGAGAAGTTCATATAATTCTAACGTGGGGTTATTGGAAACGGGTTTTTTCCTAAGGTTTGGCTTTTTTCTTTCGATTGCTTCTACCTAATAGGTGGAATTACTCCCGTCAAGTTGTAATCTTCGTTTTTCAAACGTCATAAACTGCAGTCAAGGCTTGATGGAAGTCCGCTATTAATTAGTTTGTGCATTTTTTTAATAAAATTCTAATGCCTCGGAGGTGCCTCGCCCAAATTAACAAAAAAAAAACATATTTTACTCATATGGGGACCGCACCAGCGTTGCCTTTAATCGACTGATTTTTTAATCAATTAGTTAATTCGATTAAATTCAAACCGATTACAGTCAATCATGATTAACTTTAATCTGATTGTCAGTTAATCGTAGCCGCGACTAAAAAAATTAATTTTTAATCATTAATCCTTAATTTGAACCTAATTATTATTAATTTATTCTGGACTAGCAAATGCCTGGCTTGCTTCGCTACGCCCAGATAATAACTTTTACGTTGTCCAATACAAAAATAGGTTTGAAATGCAAAAAGGGTTTGTAATGTAAACACTATTGACTTCGGTTGAAAGGTTAAATCCTGCTGTTCCACAGGAAGAAAGAGTTTTCCGGCTCAATCGGCGTCATTGATATTCCTATCATATTCTTTCTAATTCGTCACATTTCTTCTTGATATACCGATGACCCGTTGATGTGCGTAGGACATCTGTGGCGACTTAAAACCTTTGCGCTTCTTTGTATTCATATTTAAAGGATGGGGCTTTATTGAGTCATCTAAAAAGTAAGTTTTTAGAGCTGTATCTAAATATCTCGATTCCAGCACCATCTTCTTTTTGGGTACGTTTTTTGCTGCAGCACTTCTTATCAGAGATTACCTGTTAACCCAGGTAGTACGATAAAGACGGATTCTTTAATATCTCGACTCCAGCGCTATCTTTCGGCAGAATTTTTCGCAAAAATATATTTTATGATGCAGAGTATCCGGAGTCGTAATTCGGAGTAATAATTCGTTCAACAATTATATTGGCCATCATTTTCTTTACTAAGAATCCTGTTTCATTATTAAGGTTAGGTGGATTAGAGTACCTAAAGAAGATGAGGTGCTACGACTTCTTGCAAACTCTCATTCCTGTTTAGTTTACAACAGGTCATTCCGTTCAGCTGTTTTTATAATGGGTCCTAGGTTGTGGTTCTCTGAACGTACTCCATCTATTGGAGGTGCAACACCCCTGTCAAACACTCACTCTCTTTCAGTTTACTATAAACGCCACACCCTCCCCCACTCATTTGTATACTTTACAATAGATATTCTCTCCAAATTTCAAAGTCATGTGAGTTAGGGGTCCGAAGATGTGAGATTTCACGGCTATGGAATGAGCCGTGGCACCTTGTGCAAACTCAAATATTTACATCGCTATAAGCGCCTAATTTATTCATGTCTTCACACTTAATTTTGAAGTCATGTGAATTATCGTTCCTAAGTTATAGCTGATTCAAATTTTCCGCCTGTAAGATGTTCCACGCCCCCTTTTACAAACTTATTATATATATGGATACTTTACTTTAAACATCTATCATAGAACTGTCTTCACACCAAATTTAAAAGTAGTGTGGCTAACGGTTCTGAAGTTATTGCACATTAAAAGTTTCACGCCTATGGGAGGTGCCACGCCCCCTTGAACAAACTCATTAATATATATGTACCTTACTATAAGCGGCTACCATAGGAACGTTTTCATACCAAATTTCAAATTCATGTGACGTATGATTTCGAAGTCATGGCTGATTAAAAATAGGAAGGGCCACGCCTCTTTTACAAAAGTATATCTACTTTACTATAAGAAGCTATCATAGATATGTATGTGAACACACCAAGTTTCAAGTCATGTGACTTACGGTTTCGAAGTTATAGCTGATTAAAAATTTCACTATTAAAAATTTTTAATCATTAATCGTACGGATGATTGCGATTAATTAATTTTAATCGTTAATCGCGATTAACATTTTAACCGATAATCAGATTAACATTTTGCCAACACTGGACCGTATCTACTAATGTACATACATATTACTTTGCATTAACCCTTCAAAATTGGTATACAAAAATACATATCGCCGGTGATACTGCAAAATCTTATACATATATGACTTATTACCTCTGGTGCATAATTGATCTGTTATCTGCATCCGATCGCTTCTGGTAACCGTTCATCTTCATCAGCGAAAGGTAGGCAGTTTTGTCATTCGTTTATTAGGGTGCAACGATTTATAGATCCATTCCGGTGTACGTAAGAGCCCATACAAGTGTCAAGGGTACTAATAGACATAGTCTGTTTTGCAGTATCAGCGCCGATATGTAGTTGGTTGAAAATTTTATGCAACTCGGTCACTTTTGCATGCGCAACACTGCTGCAAATAAAAGCGAAAAATTCAGTCTGCGCCAGCATTCACGTCGACTGCTACGCTGTAGCTGTTTTTTTCGTCAAAGTCGACTTCGTTATTGCTGCCTGCGAAAGTAACTGAGCAAAACAAAATAAGCATACATATATGTATATATATTTATTTACAGACTTATGTACATACACATGTATGTACGCGACGACTACGGAGAACTGGGAGAATAGGTATTTGCCAAATCTTATTGGATTCATGTTGAAGATGACATGAATGTATGTAAATATATATTTCCAAACATTTTGTATATATATAGATATGGAACACGTTGTACGTACATATGTACACTGTAAATATTATGAATGTTTGTATACACATATAATATCTAATATATATATAATAAACACATACATTTTCTCTGTGTATGCATGCGACTTTGTTGTTCCTGCATATATGAATATATCGCACACCGTCTTCAAAAGAGTCACAACTCAAAATTTGTCATTTTTGAGATTATGCGCTCAAAATGTGCGCAGAACATTTATTTACCTTTCAGCAAAAGCTGGAGCAAATAGTTGTTATAATTTGTTAAAAAAACCCAAGGTAAAGTCGCCCTTGCCCATGTGGTTACCATGTGCTAAGAAATAGTAGTTCTCATTTTCTGGCAAAGGTATTATTTTGAGTTGTGACTTTTGAAGACGGTGTACGATATGTACATACATATCTATGTTTATATATGTGTATGTGAAAGCGCACAATCGTCGCCGGCAAACAGTTTTTTTCTTTCGTTGTTAAATTTTTGCCGGTTACGCTTTGTGCTTTCGTTTGTAAACGAAAAAAAAATTAAACATCGTTTCTCTCGCTCGCACATCCGGCGAAAACTCATACAACAAACGACCAAACGAGTTCTCTGCTTTGTCACGTCGCGGTCGTCGCTCAATTTGACGCAGCAGAGAATAGCAGCACAGAACTTGAATGAATGTGAAGAGAAAATGAGTGAATTATGTTAAGTGCACTGTTTGTGGACAGAAAATAATGTTTAGCAACATGTACGTTAGCATTCTCCGTGTTGCTGGGTGGGTTAATGAAAACCTAGCAAGCCTTTGCTTGAAATTGTTACATTTTTTAACATTTTGTACATGTACTGGCATCAGAGAATGTTAATATAAAGTTTGTTTATATTAACACTCTCTCGTAGTACCGATACATCTGCAGATATCATGATTCAATAATTAAAGTTTCGCTAAACTGGCAGTTGTCTCTCTCGCACCGCTCCCTTAACAGTGGCCCCGTGCTGCTTCTTTGCAAATTTACTTGAAAAATTGTAGCTTACGCGTGAAATAGAAGTATACGTTTTCGTGCAAAATGCTTATTTGTACATATATGCATAAAAAGCAAGTTTAACTGATGAAAACATAAATTGTTTTTAAATTCGATGATTTAATTTTGAGCCCTTTTGCAGTTTTTATACCACTAATAAACCACATATGTTTCGTACCTCACGTAGATATCTACATACATATGTATTTCGTTTAAAATGCCAAATTTCCTGCAAACACCTTAGAATTTACGAAAGCAATTTTACTACTAACTACATACTTTGCGCACTTTTCTACTACTATAGTTCTATATACATATCTCTGCTCGCGTTGCTGTTAAAACGAGACGAAAGCGAACGCAACGGGAAAGTTCTATACAAATTCTCTGCCGAACTACGCTGCTGCGCACGAACTTGGCGCAGACATGATTTGAACAAAATCGTCAACGAACGAAGCTGGCACCGACAAAGTTGCCAACAAATGGAAATAGTCAAAATTTCGCTTTCTGCTGGATAAGTTGTGTTGAGGATTAGAGCGGAGTGTATTGTTCATAGTATGTTAGCTGTGAAGAATAATAAAAACTGCAAAGTGTAAAAGAAATAAACAGTGAGTTAAGTGGAAAGGAAATTCGTGAGACTTTGTGGTGCTTGGCAAGAAAACTAACATTTTTTGGAAGTAAATCGAACTAAAGTAATTAATTGGCGTGCGGAAACAATTTTGGCGAGAAAAGAGTAGTGGCGACCGCAAACGAAAGTGAATGTGAGGAAATGTCAAAATATGCAAATTAATTTTGATGCTTGAATTTTTCTATTGGGTCGAAAATTCTGATTGGAATGAATTTTTCCAACCAGCCGAAGTTCGGTAAAAAGTAACAACGTGATTTCATCAAGTATGGCATTTCTGCAGGAACGACGAAATAACTAAAAATAGCAATATCCAGATAAAAAGTGATCTACATACATAAATAATTAAATAAAACTCAGGAATCTTTTTGAATAGTATTCAAGTTGCTTGCGAGCCAGGCAGTGAATAAATTTAAATACATACACATAAACTTTTTATAATACAATTCAAGTTCAAAGAGCGGAAAGCGCGAGCCATCAATACAGCGGACTGTAAATTCGATAACTTCGATTTTTGAAAAAAAAGAATAAAAGCTAGTAAAAATGAAAAATCATTTTTTGAACGCGTTCAAGCCTGTGCTAATTATACGCAAATTTCAATAGAAAAACAAAGACTAAATATAACTAAAGGATGGTATGTACATAGACAAATATGTATATCTACATAACTCCAGATTAGATCTTTTGCGGAAATTCATAACTGTGCTATTGTGGATATTTCCAAAAATCTAAAAATAAAAACCCATTTTTTAAATTTAATACAAACGGTGTAAATATTGTGTCACTGCGACACTTTAACTATTAACTGAGTTTGTAGATGAAGAAAGTGAATTATAAAAAAATTACAAGAATTTAATTGGAATTTTAAAATGGAAACCACATTGCTGTGTTTATTGCGGTAAAAAGTAGATTTCGTAAAGGCACTTTCGAAATAATCAAAGTGATTTTTATAGACCCGACATAAATCTCCCAAATTCGGGACCAGATTTCGATGTTTCTCTAAATGATACATATGGCGCCACGTCGTGACAGCAATAGCGCCAACAGCAGTTCCAGTATTTTAGTGCAACATCAACAGCAGCAAGGGCAACAACAACCTCATCTATTTGTATACGCCTCGCTATTCAACAGGGAAACTTTGCTTGATTCTTCTAACATTAGCACCGCAATCACCAACAATATAAGCGACAATTTGTACAACAGTAATAACAACAATACGAGCATGCCACCTATGCAAACATCGAACCTGGCACATCCTTCGCTGAGTGGGACTGCCTCTGGGGGGTCGAATTCAATCGCCCAGAATGGGCACCACCCACACCATGTCGGCAATAACAGCAACGCTAACAACATAAATAATAATATGAATAGCAATAGTAATGGCAATATCCAGGATCAATACACCCGTTGTTGCTATCCCAATGGAGATTGCTTAAAGTTGGATGCCGGTTTAATTTCTCTGGACGACCTGTGTGATGTGGTGCGTGTGCTTTGTAATAACGAGAACTGCAACATGGGGCAGTACATGCATCGTGAGTGTTTCGATGCATGGGAGCAGTGTGTGCTCGCGACACTAAAGTCCGTAGGCCGGGCACGATCGTGGTCCGAACGGCAGCGCAGCCAAAATTTGTGGACAAAGAAGGGGTTTGATTTAGTCTATAAAGCTTGCGTGTGCAAATGTGGTCATGGTCATATTCGCAAGGATCTGGAGTGGACCCCACCTACTCAGGCCACGGGATCGAAGTCGTCAAGTGCAACTCTTAACGGTGGCGGCGGTCAATATGGCAATGTAAATAGCGGTCCAATAGCTGGTGGTGTGCAACAGCGTGTTCTAATGGTCAGCAGTACCTCTGCTGAGGAAGATGACAAGAAGAAAAAGAAGAAAAGAAATCGTAATAATAATCTGTCCAAACCAAACATGGCAGCAGTGAATACAAACGGACTTATTGCCGCAGGTGGTCAACAGCAGCAAGCTCAAATGGTACAACCACCAGTAACCACCCAACAACAATCTTCTCAAGCTGCTCAACAGCAGTCAGCCAATTCCCTACTTAACGGACAACAGAATGGTATTAGCAATATTAGCAATGGAATCAGCGCAATTTGCACGCCCAATAATGTGAACCCAACTGTTTGTAAAGCAGCCATCGGTAATAACCCAAACAACTCGCTCATTTCTAGCAGCGGTAACAACCAAGTCAACAACGTCTTAACCAATACCAGCGTTGGAGTTATTGGCTCAGGTCTGCACAGCAGCAGCTCCACCAGCAACCAACAACAGCCACAAGCTCAACAGCAGCAACATCAACAGGCCGTTGCCTCTTTGAATAATATATTGGGATTAGATTTGCGTGCTCGGGCCGGCAGTTTGTCGTCAAGTGGGGCGGGCAGTGGTTCTACATCGCCTTCTGATTCTCAATCTAGCGGTGAGATTTCAATTTCGCCCATAAATCAACAACAGCAGCAACAGCAGCAGCAGCAGCAACAACAGCAACAACATTTGCAACTGCAGCAATACCAACAGAGCTTGTTGCAACAGAATGGCTTAACGAAAAGCATCTTAAATGGTGCATTAAACGGCTGCGTCGATACAATCCAACGCAATGCTGCACTTTTGGCAGCACAGCAACAGCCCACGGGTTCTCAGATTGTGGGTGGTGTAGCTGCCGTTAATGGATTAAACGGGTTAAAGCAATTGAGTGTTTATGATCAGCATTTGGTGCAGCAGCAGAGAAACAAGGAGGTGGAACTCTATTCGGAGCGTGTACGGTGAGTTGATAACGATTTTCTACCTTCACTCTTACATACATATGTAGGTATGTTGGTTAAAAAGTACCCTGCAAACCATTCTTTCAGAAAAATTTGAATAGCAGAGAAGTCTTAAAGAATTCGGAAGAAATCATTTCCTCTTGCAATTTTTTTTGTAGAATTTTCTAAGACGAATTGCACTGTGCACACTTCGATTCTTTCACGAAATTAGGGAAGAAAGTCGGTAAAGCAATGCGGCGATATGAAGATTTTTTTTTTCAGAAATTCCTTTTAAGAAATAGTACGAGAATTCTTTACCTGTTATCTCAACCACTTCATATGATTTTCTTTGGAGATTCGTTCGTAAAGAAATCGTTCAGAATTCAGAATACACCATGGCTCAATAAACAGGTAAAATTATCAAACAGCTTTCTCATTTATATTCTGCCATTCGGTTGCGTTGTTAACAAATTTTTAATTATGCCAGTGTCAAAATTCTTCTTGCTCTAATCATAGTGATATAATATTATTTCACTATGGCTCTAATTATCTCACCTGGTATATATAATTCCCCTATAGGAATACACTACTGTTAGATTTTAAGATATTAGGAACCTTGGTTTACACATTAATTAAAAAAGCGCGACTTCACTCAAGTTTTCAAAAGCTACATGTACATATATATGGGCGATTCCACCGTCACGGGTTGGACATTTGTACAGACAAAAATTTTCTTGTTTAAATTTAAGTATTAAGTACAGAACAATTCTACATTTTGATAAAACTACACCTACTTAATTGACTATTATAAGAGTTATTACAAAATAGGAAAAAAATTCAAGCTTTCTTTTATATGGGAAAAATCTGATTTATTTATTTTGTCTCGGGTGGAACAAAAAAAATAACCTGCTTTTTGGGGCAGATATATTTTACGGAAACTGCGAATTTATTTCACTTTTCTGTGTAAACTTGCTGTCTTATAATAAAACATAGAACCAGGAACAAAAAAAAAGCAAAAACTACAAAAACATGATAGCTTTATTATACAAAAAATCCGAAACTCTTCTGTCACGGGTGGGACAACGTTTGTCACGGGAAGGACACGTACACATTTTTATATGAAAAAGAGCTTTTAATGTGGTCCATATATAAAGACTAGTTATTAAAAAATATAAGAAGCCAAGTAGGGATTAAATTCCCTCACGTTTTTTCTTAGGATGGTGCCTTTTATGTAGAATAAAATACTTAGCACCGTCAGCCAAAAAAATTATTAAAAATTAACGCGATTTCCTAACGCCTTGAAATTTTCGCTTTTCCTACTTAATTTTAATACGTGTCAAGTTAGCACTACACTTTTTGTTACATACCCTTCTTTCTTAAAAACGAGAGCCACACATTTTTTCTTTCCAAAACAAATTTACAACAAAAACACTACAGTTAATGCCGTAGTTAACTTTTGCAATTTCGGAAAGTGTAGTGACACACGTAATTTACTATACTTAATTTGCTATACTTAAACATTAGATTAACAAAATAAAAAACCAAAACTGGTCAAAATGTAATTTAACTTAATCAGCTGCCCACAAGGGTATATAGATAATGGACGAGTCCGCACATCCCCCCTCCTCCCCTGCGTCCACCTCAACAAATAAATAAAGCTTATCAGCCCTTTAAACCTACGGCTGACTTCCAAAATGTCATTTGCAATGTATACGCCGCACGCATCATTTTCCGTATTGTAAGAGTATTTTTTTTAACTAAGCATTAAGTTCCAAAATGTACTAAGCCGGTGGTAACAGCGTATCATACAAGTATTAACGGCATCACTAAAAAAAGCTGATGCTTGCCATTTGCGAGAGAAACACAAAGTTCATCAATCAACAACAAAATATTTGGCGCGGGAGAGAGGTGAGAGAATGAGAGTGTGAAAATGTGCGCGCAAAAGAAGTGTTCCTTAGTGTAAAAATTTACTTTGCATATTTTTGCCTTAAATTTTAACTAATCATAGATACGTTGCGTACACACCGCCGTCAAACTGTATACATATATTGCAAGCATACATTTTGGAAGTCAGCCTACCTCTGACAACTGTCCCACACATAGCTGTCACGGGTGGGACACACTTCTCTGTTGAATTTTTCTTATCTAACAACGTGGAAACGACAATGCAATTGTAGTAAATATTTGCAATGAATTTCTAACATTATGTAACAAACACGAAACACAAGCTCAGCTTCTATAATTAAATATAACAACTTTTACCTTTTTTTGTCACGGGTGGGACAAGACCAATACTGCTTAATACTAACTCATAATGTAGATTAAGCACTCACAAAATTTAATATATAACACAACTTTATTAAAAGCAGATGAGTTCTACTACATATTTTTCTTACCAAACACTTGAATTCTGAATCGCAAATTATTTGACAGTGCATTCAAGACAACCTACTTTAAACTAAATCAAAAACTTTACTTAGAACTTGATTTCAAAACGTTAAAAAAGGGTAATAAAAATACATTTAAAGCTTTATGGCCTTATTCATAAAATGTATGAAAACGTCATTTTATAAAGCTCTTTCAACCCACTTTATTTTTTATGAATAAGGCCATTAATTTGTTATTTTTTGGTTGATTCAAGATTTTTACAAATGTCTTATCCAAGCGTTTGTTAGTTTTATAAAGAATATAATTTACTCTCTAGAAAATAATTAACATACGCGGTTTTGCATTTTGTTGATACGCAGTTTTGCACTTTAAACGACGATATGTATTTTTATTTAATTTATTTTTTCTATTCCCGCTGTCACGGCAACAACTTGCTGCCGTTTGTGTTACTTATCAGTTTCGCATACGCTACTGCTTTTAATATTAAGTAAGCGTTCTCCAGCTGTGGAGGATCTTTGGTGCTGTCGCCTTTTGCGCTTCAGCTGTGAACGATCAAGGCTAGAGTCACCCCACAGTCAGGCAATTTTTCGTCACTTTGTTTATGATCAACATTTATGTGGAATTTGTAGATGTTCCCGTCGTTTTGCTTATTTATATATGTATATGGATATACACCCGCGATCAACTAATTAGGACCGAAATTCAAAATGATATTGTTTGCTACGTACTTATGTTTATTTATTTATTTTTAATAATTTCCTTTTAAAATTTGATTCAATCAGAAACCACACAAATAAAAGGTTCAAAATTTGCACAAATTTCAAAATTTTGAATTAGAAAATTTTCGCGTATGCGGTTTTGTAGTCCACTTAATTTTAGTCCAATAAAGTGCAAGTTTGTGCATTGCGGATTATTTTTTCTCATATAAAAACAGATTTTAATCATATGTTATATTGGAAAAATGCGCAACACCCTCCACAAACAAATTTTTTAAAATCAGCGGTAATTTTTAGCAACTTGAAACTTGCACTTTAATAGATTAAAATTAAGTGGGCTACAAAACTGCATACCCGAAAATTTTCTTAATATTCTGATTTAAAAATTTGGAAATTTTGATGAAAATTTTTTTAAGTTTGATTATTGTTTTGGAAATTTGTGCAAGCTGTTAAGCTCTTTATTAACATATCGACGGCTTATATTCAATACACTTGAGGGATTCACAAGCGTGTCGCAAGTGTCGTATTGTTGTATGTCGTAAACTGTAAAAGCTTAAATAAATGTTTAGAGAACTTGAAACCACAACCAACTATTTTTTAACACTGCGGAAATTCATAATATGACTTTGATGGTACTGTGCGAACCGCCTTAATATACTTTTAAAACGTTTAAAATTTACGACATACAACAATACGACACTTACGACACCGTTGTGAATACCCCAACTATATCTGCACTTTTAACAAAAATTAAATTCTGATATAAAAATTCACCTAAGACTTAACTGTCATCGGTGATACCTTGTATAACGCTTGACAGAGGAATTTACTATTAAATTGCAAAGTCAGAATTAACATCAGTGATGACAGGTAAGTCCCAGATGGGTTCTAACACCACAAAGTAGTTTTTGTGAAAATTGCAGATAGAGGGTCTTGAATATAAGCCCTCTATATGGGGTTTCTGTTATATATTGAATTATATTTTAAACGAAAATTATTAAAAATAAATAAATAAACGTAAGTTGCAAACAATAGCATTTTGAATTTCGGTCCTAATTAGTTGATCGCAGGTGTGTGTATGTATGTATGTTTGTGCTATTATTTATTTATTGTGCTTGTGCTAATTTTACTTGGTTCAGGAACTGTGTCGAAAATGAAATGTATGTACATAAAATGTATATATCTATGTATGTACATACATTAGGATGCCTAAAAAAAAAAAATTGCCACATTTCTCAAGCGTTTCATACAATTTGGTGTTACCAAACGAAAATTTTCTTGAATCAATGTTAATGGACCGCGTTAAAAAGGCTTTTAAAAAATTGCCGTTTTGTCAAATATGTATTTTAGAAAACACCCTTTTTGATTGGAAATACTCTTCATAGGGACGAATGAAAATAAACGTTCCTTCCGCCAACATCACTTTTGGCAGTGTAGCTGACAGTCCACTCACGTTTCGAAATTTTTATTTACAATTAATTGTGTTGAAAAGTGATCTTTAGAAGAATTTTTTTTATCAAAGTTTTTAAAAACTGGTTCGTAGGGTTCAAAATTTATTTTTTTAAATTTTTCTTGGAAAACACATTTCTCTCACTATTCATATCATTAAACAATTAACTCGTTCACATCCCTGAAATTTGTACGGCCTAAATGGGTTAATTTGTGAAAAGAGTTAAAAGAGTGGGAGAACACAATTCAGACCATTTCTGGCGGAAATGTTTATTTATGGGCTATTTAAAGCTGTCAAGAAAAACGAAAAATTCATATGACGCACAAGAAATTAAAAGAAATTTTCTTCTATCAAAATTTCTTAAATCAGTTTGCTGCTTTCAAGAAAAAAATGCTCGTTTATTTATTTCTTCAAGAAAGTACGAAAACGCTAAACCAGCAAGAAGTTGCAAGTTTTATGAACAGCTG